TTTTATTTTATTTTTATTTTTATTGTGAAAATACTGTACAGAGGGGTTACAATTACATGGGCAAGATAATGAGTACATTTCTTATCAAGCATTGTAGCCTTCTCCTTTGTTTCCCCTTCCCATCCCTTCCCATCCTCCCCCCCTCCCCGCCCCTCCACCCAATAAAGCATACATTATTGTACAGGAGAAGTTTGAACTCAGGGATTAAGGACTGTCCCTGAGCCTTTCTGCTCAAGGCTGCACTCTACCACTTAGAATCACAGCTCCCCTTTTGGTTTTCTGGTGGTTAACTGGAGATATCAATCTTATGGACTTTTCTTACCAAGCTGGCATGGAACTGCAATCTTCAGATCTCAGCCTCCTGAGTAGCTAGGATTACAGGCTTGAGCCACTGAAGCCTGGCTTATTAGGACATTTTTACACATGCAGTCAAAGTACACATTTAGCCTTGCCTGCTCCATCATTCTACCTTAGCCTCTCAAAACAATTTCAAGGGGTTCTATTCTATTTTTGTTTATTTATTTATTTATTTTGTCGGTCGTGGGGCTTGAACTCTGGGCCTGGTAGCTGTCCTTCAGCTCTTCAGCTCAAGGCTAGCATTCTACCACTTGAGCTACAGCGCCACTTCCAGTTTTCTGGTGGTTTATTGGAGATAGGAGTCTCACGGTCTCTCCTGCCCCGGCTGGCTTTGAACCGTGATCCTCAGATCTCAGCCTCCTGAGTAGCTAGGATTACAGGCGTGAGCCACCAGCGCCCGGCTCTAATCTATTTTTATAACCCAGTCTCTTTTTATAACCCATGTAAAAGTACTTGGACTATATTCTTGCCCCTTCCCCTTTTAAATACAGATCATTGTTTTTATCCATCACAGGTGTTATTGAGAAGTGTACACTTGATTCTTGAACTTGTGGATGTCTTAAGTTTCATTTAACACCCTTCCTTTTTCCTTGTGATAGTAATTAATAGAAAAGCAGTCAATATGCAGATGGATGATCAACTCAAACTTGCCTGACAATGAAATAGGGCTGGGGGCTACAAAAGAATGAAGTAAGACTTGTCAAGTATGGATAAAAGAAAAAGGAAAGACAGGACACTAAATCTTGGAAGTGTCACAACCTTGTAGGAAACAGGAGACCTGCCAATCAAAACCATCCTTAAGGACCCCAGTTCTCCCCATTTAATGCAAGTCCAATCTCTCTAAGGAGGAAGATAGCACAAGATGGTGACACAGACTCCAGTATTGTCTTCGTGTAGCATATCTATGTCGCAATACTTTTTTTTTTTTTGCCAGATCACCTTTACTATGTATGCATCTTGCTTGAATTATTCTCATCAGATTGTGGACTGAGGTCAACTTAGCTGCCCTAAATTCCTTGGGATCTTCCTATTGGCTTGTGTAACTTGCCTCTTCTGGTTTTTTCCTCTTCCTCTGACTGTCCTCATCCTTCACTTGCTGTCCACACATGCATTAGCCATTTTGAATCACTGATTTCTGAGGAACATCACTGAATTTTCTCCTTTTGGTCCCCAGAAACTTCACTATGAACTCTTGTTCTTTTTGCTGGTTATTTTGGGGACCAAGGCTCACAGACTTTTCTGCCCTAACTTGGAACCTTGATCCCCTGACCTCAGTCTTCCAAGTAGCTAAGATTACAGGTAAGAGCCACTGGCACCCAAGTGAACTGGTTACTTTCATAGTTATGTGCATGGACCATGATTCCCCCATATCAGGCTTCCTGTTGTGGCTAAGTTGGCATGTGTATACCACATGCCCAGTTGAGATGAATTGTTGCTGCCTTTGCCTAGGTTGACCTGGTACTAGGATCCTCCTATCACAAAGCTGAGATGATAGGCATACAACACTGCACTGAGCTATGGGTTGAGAAAGAGTCTTGTGAACTTTTGTGTCCAGACAGTCCTGGAACTGTGCCCCTTGAGTATCAACAGCTCAAGTAGCTAGGATTACAGACATGAGCCACCAGTACCTGTCTCCTAACTTTGTTTCAATTGCTATGAAAAGAAATTTAAGCACAAAAATATAATTGCACTTAGTGATTAAAAACTTTTTTTTTTTTTTTTTGTGGTGGGTCTTGAACCCTGGGCCTGGGCATCGTCCCTCAGCTCTTCAGCTCAAGGCAAGTACTCTACTGCTTGAGCCACAGCGCCACTTCCAGTTTTCTGGTGGTTAATTGGAGATGAGAGTCTCACAGACTTTCCTGCCCTGGCTGGCTTTGAACCTCAATTCTCAGATCTCAGCCTTCTGAGTAGCTAGGATTATAGGTAATCACCAAGCTAGGTGCTTTTTTTTTCATTTTTCTAGAGTGTAATATTGTAGTGATTAAGTCTCCTAAACATAATGTTCAAATAAAGCTTAGAGATAATAGTGGAGAGGCAGCTAGTACAGTTAGATAAGAGCACTTGAGTGCCTCTCTTGAGCCAGGCAGCCTAGGTTAGGATCCAAGCTGTGTTTCTCACTAGTGGTGTGACTTTGGTAATGCTACATGGAGTAATTGTTTCTACCCAAAGGGTTGTTGGATTCTTTTTTAAGATGTTGACTTAACAATCTTAGAATTAGCCTAGCAACTTTTTTTTAAACTCAGTTCTTTTCAGGTTCTACATTCTTTTTTTGTTTGTTTTTATTGTGAAAATACCATACAGAGGGATATTAAGTATGATGTTATGCAGGTATACGTGGTTTTTTTTTTTTTTCTAGTGCTGGTGGGTTAAAGTTGATCAAATAGAGTGTTTGTCAAAGTATGGTTGTAGGAACCAGGCATGGTGGCATGTGCCTGTAATCCCAGCTAATCGGGAGTGGAGATTGTGAGAATCTCATTTTGAGGCCAGCCCAGGCAAAAAAATAAATGAACCACCTGTCTAACAAACAAGCTGGGTTCCAGTTGTGGTCTCACTTATGAAGAGGGCATAAGTAGGAGATTGGCATTCTAAGGTAGCCAAGGCAAAAATATGAGACCCTGTCTCATGGAAGACTAAAGCAAAAGGTCTTGGGGGAGTGTGGCTCAAGTGGTGCAGTGCTTGCCCCCCCCCAATATATATGCTGTATCACTTGAACCACAACTATATTTCTAGCTTTTTGTGGGTAATTGAAGAGGCACAGATTTTCCTGCCTGGGTTGGCTTTAAATCACGATCCTCAAATCTCAGTCTCTTAACTAGCCAGGATTGTAAGCTTGATTGTAGGTATCAAGCTTAATGTATTTGAGTTTTTAAAAAAATCTTCAGTGTTTTTTTTCTTGAATTTTTTTTTTTTAAATTTGGAAGCCCTTGCCTAGCATATGCAAGGCTAGAGTCTCTATAAAAAGTAACAAAAAGGGCTGGGAAGGTGGCTCAGTGGTAGAGTGCTTGCCTTACATGCATGAAGCCCTGGGTTCGATTCCTCAGCACCACATAAGCAGAAAAAGCCATAAGTGGGGCTGACGCTCAAGTGGTAGAGCGCTAGCCTTCAGCTGAAGAGCTGAGGGACAGTGCCCAGACCCAGAGTTCAGGCCCTACCACCAACCAAAAACAAAAGCAGAAATAGAGCTGGATATTATGTACACTCCTGTAATCCCAACACTCAGAAGGCTAAGGTATAGTTGAATTTGAGGCCATCTAGTCCACATAGCCAGAGCTTGTCCCAAAGACAGGATGGGGGTGTGTGGAAGTGTATTCTAGCTGAAAGACTTTAATAAACATCTAAATGTGCCAAAATATAGTGTTTTTCAATATAGCAGAGTTAGATTGCACTATAATGATACAGTGTTATAAGAAATAAAAGGTGTCATAGAAACCTGGGGAATTAAACAGCTTTGTAACTTGATGGGGCAGAGAAAGTACCATCTGACTTTTGAAAACTAATATTATAATGTAGTATTCTCCCTTGTCAAACAGGCTGACCTATTTACGTAGTTAAAAGGTGTAGCAAGTTTTCAGACTTATCTTTAAAGTTGACCTAGTTTCTAGTTATAAGTATTCTACATAACTATGATTAGATCAGTAGATTTTTGTGCCTGAAACTACATGGGTAGCTTGTGTCTGGTCTGAGAACTATAATAGAACTGTTTTTTTCTGCATATAATTTCATCCCTAAATGAATGCTTCTAGACTTATCAGTTTTAATGTTTTTCTAAGTACAGAGGCTAATTGCTTGCTTTCCCCCCCTCCTCTAATTTTTTTTTTTTTTTTTTGCCAGTCCTGGGGCTTGAACTCAGGGCCTGAACACTGTCCTGAGCTTCTTTTGCTCAAGGCTAGCACTTCTACCACTGGAGTCACAGCGCCACTTCCAGCTTTTTCTGTTTATGTGGTACTGAGGAATCAAACACAGGGCTTCATGCATGCTAGGCTAGCACTCTACCACTGAGCCACCTTCCCAGCCCACCTCTCTGATAATTTTTGTTATTGTGTTTCCCTGGATACGTTGGTAGATTTTTCTTTTTCCTTTTTTCTTTTTTTTTGGGGGGGGGCAGTCTTGAATTCAGGGCCTGGATGGAGACCCTAAGATTTTATGTTCAAGGCTAGTGCTCTACTGCTTGAGCTACAGCTCTCTTCCCTCCCTACATTCCTCCCTTCCCCCTCACTCACTTCCTTCTTTCCTTCCTCCCTCCCTCCCTTTCTCTCTCTCTCTCTTTGGTTTTTTGTTGTTGTTGCTGCTGCTGCTGCTGTTTTGTCAGTCCTGAGGCTTGAACTCTGGCCTGGGCACTGTCCCTTAGCTTTTCAGGTCAAGGCAAGTACTCTACCACTTGAGCCATAGTGCCAATTTCCGTTTTCTATTGGTTAATTAGAAATAAGAGCCTCACAGACTTTCCTGCCTGGGCTGGCTTTGAACTGAGATCCTCAGATCTCAGCCTCCTGAGTAGCTAGGATTACAGGAGTGAGCCCAATATTCTACTTCCTTTCTTTTAGTGGTTAATTGAAGATAAGAGTCTCAGGAACTTTCCTGTCCAAGCTGGTTTCAAACTATGATCCTCAGTTCTCAACCTCCTAAGTTTGCTAGGATTATAGGCATGAGCCACCAGCACCTGGCTCTGTAGAATGTTTAACACGAGATTTTCTCTATTTAACATACAAAAAGAACTGTATGTTAAAGAATAATAGGGGGGCTGGGTTCAATTCCTCAGCACCATATAAGCAAAAAGAAAGTGGTTCAAGTGGTAGAGCGCTAGCCTTGAGCTGAAGAGCTGAGGGACAGAGCTCAGGCCCAGAGTTCAGGCCCCACGACTGGACCCCCCACGACCGACAAAAAAAAAAAAAAAAGAATAAGATTCATTTGCAGGGAAATGGATGGACTTAGAACAAATCATGTTATATGAGATAAGGCAAACTCAGAGACAAATGGTGCATATTATCTCTCATATATGGAAGCTAAATCTAAAATATAACTGGACATGATAACCTATACAGGACTCTAGGCATTCACACAGTCAGATTAAAGGAGCATACCATTTAGTCTAACCTTAAGGAAAGATTGCAAAAGTGTAACTCCTCTGAACATTTAAAATACTGTTTAGCAAAACAAATTCCAAGTCATGCACTGATGGTTCACATCTGTAACCGTAGCTACTCAGGAGGTTGAGATCTGCCAGGCTGAGCAGAAAAGTAAATAAGACTCCGATCTCCAATTAACCACAAGAAAACTGGAAGTGGCACTGTGTTGCACAGTGGTAGAGCACTAGCCTTGAGTGAAAGAACTCAGAGACTGTGCCCAGTCAAGTCCCACGACTGGAAGGGGGCTGGGGGAAACAACCACAAATACCAGGAAATGGAAACATGGGCTTTTCTTTGTTGTTAGTGGTGGTGGTGGTGGTGGTGGTGGTAGTGGTGGTGGTGATGGTATTTATGTTTGCTTTTGAGTTTTTTTCTTTTTGAGTAGGCTCAGAGAGGGAGGAAAGAAGAAATAAAGCATGCTGTTCAGTATATACTATGTAGAAAACAAACTATAACTTGTGGGCAGGGACAGAGAGGGAAACTGGGGGAAGAAAAGGAAGGGGTAATGTTGTCCCCAAAAGAGATATTCTCATTACTTGACTTATGAAATTATAACCCCTCTGTATAACACCTTAATAATAACAATAAAATTATATTAAAAAAAAAAGCAAGCTGGGTACTGGTGCCTCAAGCCTGTAATCCTTGCTACGCAGGAGGCTCAGATCTGAGGCTTACAGTTCAAAGCCGTCCCAGGCAGGAATGTCTGTGAGACTTTTTTTTTAATTTTTATTTATTTTTTATTGTGAAAATACTGTACAGAGGGGTTACAATTACATGGGCAAGATAATGAGTACATTTCTTATCAAGCATTGT